TTTTGAATACCATTGAGGTTGAATATTTTGAATGTGTTTATGGCCATGTGTCGCCGTTCTTTTTTGAATTGCCTAATCTTGTACTTTGCCCATTCCTCTCTTGGGCTATTCCTGGGTTGAGTGCTGATGTTGGTCCGAAAACTGGGTTACTAAAGTTTAATTGACCTCAAACAACCCAACTAGGTTTCTAAATATTATGAATTACTCTCACCCAAAAAAAATCTATCTCCATTTCCATTTGTTTATTCTCTACTTCCCTAGATCATATCACCTTTTTCAGTTCTTTCTTTTCTCAGATTCACAATATTAGAACTGCAGAATCACCTCATTTTTCAGTTGAGGCTTTTGACAACAAAAGAGGAAAGGGTCTTGTCCTTTCTAAAGGTGGGGGGTCTATTCAGTTTGAATGCATGGAACCTCTCTTTTGGCTTCTGGTCAAAACTACACCAACAATGCATTTAGCCCCTTTACCAAAAGGGTTGTGTCCTTGTGTCTGGCACTAAGAAGTTCAGTCTATCCATAACTTTTGCCTCATGAATAACTCAGATCCTAAATTCCCCCTGCCCCTACTTGGCTGTGTGACATTTTATAAATTGCTTTAACTTTGGGGCCTTGGATTACCCATCTGTTAAGTGGGAGCACTGAACTTCTACTCAGTGATTCTGAGACACTCTTTTTACTCTTGAAGTCTGTTGTTTAAGAGGGCATTAGAGAGAATGGATTAGGGGAAACCAGCATAGGTGAAAGTTGACCTTTAAGAAATTTATTTCGGCCTACAATGTCTATTTTTGAAGGTAACCTAATCAAAGCTTTTTAAAAATAGTTTTTAATTATAGGTTTGAAACTTTGTGTTATTTGTAATGCCTTTTTAGAAGCATGAAAATAGCATTTCTCTCTGTACCAGCTTTGTGCTTTCCCATTTGGTAAACACTGATTTTATTTCTATCTGTTGCCTGTAGGAGTAGACCAAGCCAACTCAGTACTTCCTGTTTACCTCCTGGTCCTACATATGGTAGATTGCCACAGACCTGCTCTCAAAATAAGCTTCCTTGGTTTAATTCTGCATTTTCTGGTTAGGCAACTGGCCTGTCAGTACTTGAACAATGAAACAGTTTGGCTACTGAAGACTTGTTCTGACATTCCCCCTTCAAATTGTCAGTGGAAAGGAAAGTCACTTAATGTAATGGCAGGGATCATACAATAGTAGGATTTACATTTAAATGGGGACATCACACAGTACCTTTCATTTGAGAATATCAAAGCACTTCCAACTCTTAAACTTGGAATGTGTGACATGGGCGAACACAAAGATAGTAAATAACCTGATTTCCTCTGGAGATTCTCAGTGCTCTAAATATCTATTTTTTAAGGAGGAAGATTGAATGTTATGTGTATTGAGTGAATAGACTGTAAGCTTAGAAATATTTTATGTTCCCAACATAGTTTATTCTGCTTAGCGTAAATCGTCAGCGCCAACCGTAGCTTACCATTTACTGGAGCTTTTCCGGTTGTATTACACTTTTCAGTTGTATTACACTCATGTCAGACACACCTTCGTACAAGTCCCTCCAAGGTCAATAGTTTAGAAATTCTGCCTCTTCCATCCCCTTCTCCACTCAACACTTATGGAAATATATGCTAATTGGAACAGAAGCAGCCTACCCAACTAACAGGGCTAGACCACTCTTAACACAGGATTAATGAAATAGAAGTTTAGGGTGAAAATAACATTTTTCAAGCCCTAAGAGTGTAGATGCCAAGTAAAAGCCAACAGCTCTCCAGGATCAGTCAAATCCCACGCTTTGCCCTCCTTCAACTTTGCTCAACGGAGTTGAAGAAGAGGAAATCCTGTACGCCCACCGTTGCTCTTGGCCACTGTTGCCACCCTCTGGCCCTCCCACCTTCCCTGAAGCCACAGCTCAGCAGTCACCGTTGTGGAAAACAGGACTGCAGACTCAAGGTGCAGAATGAGACTCTACACATTGTTTACTGAGGTGACACGCAAGCAGGAATGATGAGGCACTTGTGCACAGGTAGCTACCTGTATTCACGGCCGGCCTTTGTAGGTGTGAGATTCATGTCCATAAGAGGGCATTTAGAGACCACAGATACTTAAAGTCACAGATATTGGCAAGAAGTTGAGTCTGTGAAGTATTCTACATTGCTGATTTGTGACTGAACCATGGGTTAAGAGACATCTAGAGCTATCAGAGGCTTAGAGAACAGTATTTGCTCAGAGGGAGAAAAGCCTAAGGATCTTATCAGTTTGCTGAGACTAGAATTGGCATCCTGTGTGACAGATCTGTAATACTGGGGGTGAGGGGCTGACTTCCTTTTAAATTGCCAGGATCTTTCAGGATCCAAAGGCAGCCTTCACCTCTGGATACTCAGCTCTTTATAGACACCCTGAATTCTTCCAAACTGACCAATCACACTGGAAATAAATTTTGCACACTTAAAAAGTGATACTCTTTCGCATCTAGTACCCAGATCTTAGTTTCTAAGTATTCTCCACTGATATTCAGGCTCCTTGGAAAAACAGCTGATTCCAGGACTGGGGCAGGGAAAGAGGCCTTGAAAAATTAGCCTGGAACCTCCTAATTCACCAGAAAATAAAGAGTTGCTCAAAGAACCACAGGGAAATATCAAAAATGGGAGCTTGAAGAGGCTCCCACTGGCTAAATCTGGGAAAATTTGATTATAGTAATGGGTTATCATGCATAGAATAAGATAAATAATTTTGAGTTCATACAATATAAATAAGTAAATAAATAAGGGAGAAAGTGAAAGCTCTTCTTTGCCATAGAATGCCAACTAATAAACATAGCTGGAGTTATGGCATTAAAAGATCCTCAATGGGGGAGAAAGACTGATAAGGAGTAGAAATGTACATAGTCTCAAATTATCTCCCCACAAATTACCTGTTAGTTACAAAGGAAAACTAGTAACAACAACAACAACAAATCTGATGTTCTTTCGGTGGTTCCTTGTAAATATTGTTAATTAAATTTTTTATTGTTTTGGATCACAAATGTTAAGCATTCCTTTTGTTTGAATTTTGTCTTTCTTGAGGTCACGCCATTAAATAAGAAATGCAGACAGAAATTCATGTATAACAGTTCAAAGAATACCTCCAATGATGACAGATCCTTTGATAAGATACACTTTGGGTAAACACCTAATTCCACTCTTTTTGTTCAGACCTAATGAAATTGTTCTCCCCTCCAAAAGCCAGATCAGGCTAACCACGCAGCACAGCAGAGACATGAGGGAGCAGAACCCACCCGCCCCCCTCATCCCCCGCACTTGGATTAGAGGGAGCCCGAGAGCTACAGCACTGGGTGGGCAGAGAGGTGGCCCTTCCAGGTTGGCCAATGAACTACATCTGGTGCCTCCCCTAGGGAGGGTTCTGACCTTCTTTACTTCTCCTTTTGTTGTCTGTATAAGACCAGAAACACTGTTTCCAGTTACTGTGGTGGTTAGGTATCTGTGGCAGGCAGGATGCTGGTGTCCAGAGAGGGCAGGTGGGGTAAACAGAACCCCTAGATATTGCTGGCTCAGCTGGGCTCCTGGCTACCTGGTTACGTGATGAACTGCACCAGCATTCCAGGGAGACAGGACAGGCACCTCGAAGACTACATTCAGACACTGAAATACACACCCACCAAACAGCCATCCCAGACCTCTAATCTTACTTTATGACCAAACTATAATTACATTACAGCAATTACTTGAATATTACATTTTTATTACTGTTATGTCATTATGTCTACCAGGAAAAAATATGCCTACTTTAAGCAGTAAAATTCTTAATGACTCATTTAAGCTCTTTAAGCTCATTTAAGCTATCCGAAACCCCTGACTTAAACATTTTGGCCAAAATAACTTTTAGAGCCTGGTGGGAAGAAGAGGGTTAATCTCCATCTATATTGTTGCCCAAAAACCAAGAAAACTTTCACTGGTGGATGTACTTCTAGAGATTAAAAAGTTCCAGCCAAGGCTGATCAGAAAGTTATGTTACATTTAAGAGCTGTGTTTGTAAAGCCATAGTTCTTTATCATCCATTGATCAGTTCCAACTACTGACAAAAAGTAGAGAACTCAGGAAACATCCATGTCTCCATCTTCCAAATGTGTGGAGGCATATTTCCCATCCTTCCAATGTCAAGCAGGAAGATTCTTTAGAGGCCAGCTTGGCCCATTTTTCAGCCCTTTCTCTGGAAGCCAGTGGTTTACTTGGAACTCACAAAGGACACTCCTCAAATAGTTACTAACGTAAGTACATTTTCTAATCATTATATTTTACTTCATTACCTCTTTTTAGGTAGTGTCTCATTAGGCCTGATCTTGCCGAAAGATTCCAAGCTGTCAGACTCAGTATATTTTCTCAGCAGGGGGTCCTTTGACCCTAACCACTTTGCAACTTAACTGTGTCCCTTTCCCAAGCAGTGCAGCCCAGACAAGCATATGATGCCTCTTGTCTCAAAAATAATTCTATACTTTGAGAGCCAGGATTCAGACCCTTGAATTTGGGGAACTTACCATATGAGCTGGCGAGTCAAAATATCTAGTTTTAACCACTTTTGAATTTTTTTACACATACATTTACCCCCAAATACCCTGTGCATTGAACAAGCACTTTCCTACAAGAAAATGAAGCAGCTAACAGGTTTTGCTTCCCTTAGGTCAACCAAGCCCAAGGTTGGCTTTTTGCTTCATTTTTTAAAAAGTCCTTTTGGCAAATATATGTCCTCTATGTTACTGTGTAAAATTCAGTGCCTAATTCTAAAGTTATGTACATCTGCCGGACATATACGCTGTTAGACATTCATTGCTGCCTACCAATGCGAAAGGTATTACCAGGTCTATATTTAACATTGTTTTGGCAAGGCTGTTGCTGTGGAAAAAAAAAAAATTCCTATAGAATTCTTAATGAGAAAACTGAATGATTCTTTGAAATGTGGTTGTGATTCCCTGACTTATTCAGCGATGATGTCACAGGTGCTGAGAAGCAAGAAACAGTAGACTCGCTCATTTGCCAGCGCGCTCTCAAGATGCACCAGAGGGGAAATGAAACTCATCTCGCCTGTGGTTTGTGCTGAGCTGCGCTTCCCGCCACTGCTCCGGGGGTCACACAGGCCCCTGCTCGGGACATGTCTCACACACTCGGTTTGTCATCCCTGTGAGCCTGTGTCATGGAAGGGTGCGCTGTTTGCATGTGTTTCTTATAGAACTTGATTGGCCCACTGGCCTTTCTTCTGTTCATTACCCACATTTGTCTTAGAAAACAGCCACCTTGTTCTAGCTGTTGGAGAAAGACAGGGCTTTCCTCCAGCTCACCTGAGTCCCCTCGGTCGCTTAATTAGCAAGTGGCAAGAAGTTCAGAGAAGTCTGTCAGGACAGGAGAATGTGCTCCGGCCTCCTTGTCACCTAATTTGAATCCTGGGCCACACTCTTGGGCAGAGGACACAATGGCACATCAGGTGGTGTCCTGGTCAGGTCTCAGGTGGGTTTGTAATATTAAAAGAATAATATAATATTAGTGAATGCAAGGCAGTATCTGAAAGGAAAGCCAACGTTCCCTTGACGTTTATAAAAACATTATGGTAACAAGTGAATTCTTTCTGTGGAATCTGTTAAACTAATATGCAGTAAATATAATGGTTTAAAGTCAAAATCCCATTCTTGATTTATGGATTTACCAAATTAACCTGCCAGACTCTCATCCTTCTTGCATAGGCGAAACTACAGAACCTTTCCACAGTCTCACTTCACTCTTCGGCTACACGTTCCAATCCCAGACCTGTCGCTGGCACCACGAATGTTTTCCCCCTTCTCCTGATGTCGTCTCAACATCTCAGGGTCGTTGGCGTTTTCTCAAGACTGTAACCCTTATGCAGTCGTTCATGGGACCAGCTGGTGACCTCACACACTCCCCAACTGTGCTGCAAACCATTTCAACACAACCCCATGCCTCGGAGTTTTGATAACTTGACCTGGAGCTCCTGGGTCTGTAGCAACTTGGGGGCAGCTCAGTACCTGCTAAGGTATTGCTTCCCCTGCCCCCGGCCCCCCAAAAGGGCTGTAAAAGGTTAGGGTTCTGAGAGGTGGGCAGAGGCTGTGGCACACACGCTCCTGGGCCCACAGAGGAAGGCCTCCTTTCTCCTCCTCCCTGGCACATGTCCGTTCTGACGCCTCCTTCGCTAAGGGCCACGTGCTCCAGACCAGCAGCCACAGCAAGAGGGGCCAGCTCTGGGGTGAAGAAAAGAGATGCCGAGGCATCCTCAGAAGGACGCTGTCCTTCCCCTCACATATCATCCGCTGCCCGCAGCCCAGCTCCCCTGAAGCCCTGGAGGGGCGGCCACGGGCAGAGTGACGCTGACTCAGAAATGCCCCCTTTGTGCCTCTTTTGCCAGTAGCAGAACTTCAGTAGCAGAACTTGATCTTTCAGGAGTCTCTTTGGGAATCTCTGGGTCTTCTGCTTTTAACAGCTAAGTGAAGCAGTATCCCCTTATAAAAGGAAAAATGCAGCTTCAAGATTTGCTCAAGACAGAATGATGACACTTGGCAAGTCCAAAAAGAAGAACACTTCACTGCCCGCTCTCTGCTCCCAGATGTTCGGATCACTGAGAAATGGTACAGCCAGGGTGAGGGGGTGCGAACTGCTTGTTTATTTGGCGTCTCCTTGGGGGGTTATAAAAAACAAACAACAAAAACACACACAGAAAAGCTCGACACAATAAATAAACCATCGACAGTAACCTAAGACGAAGCGCTCCTGCGAGATTCTGAGCCTGTGTGTTTGTTGCTGTTCTGCAATTAGCCGAGGATGCTCGTGGATTGTGCTAACGCAGCACTGAGCCCCGGGCCAAACACCTTCTCAGGTTTTTTTCCCCCTCTGTGTTTTGCTAATCCCTGGATGAAACATAATCGCAGAGCAATGTTCAAGGTTGGACGCAACAGGGAGGAACTCGGCGTTGGCTCCCACCCAGTGCAAATAACATGCCATTGGACTTAAGGCAGGAGGAAGGATGTTAAACAAATACACTCCCTCCAGCCTCCCAGGCAATGGCTCGCTGCTCTCCACAGAAGCCCCAAGTTTCCCCAAGCTGCTCACTCAGCTCCCAGGTTTCATCACCTGAGATATGTTGTATAAGATAAATAGGCAGGGAGGCCAACGAGCAAAAATCCCAATCAGGAAAAGAATGGAAAGAGAATTAAGTCATTTATTCCCCTCTAGGGCGAAATTAAAGTAACAAAAGTATCTGTATATAATAAATATATAATTATACATAATAATTAAACTCCAGCCCCTTGCAGTCATCATTCTTTTTCCCTTTCTCTCAAACCAGAGGAAAACATTTCTCCTTATTGTGATTTCAGGTGCAGACTTCTGAATCAGAAGTTCCAGGTACCACCTGACTCCTTGTCATTTTGTGTTCTGATGACAGCATGGGAAAGGGAATCAGAGAATGGGACAGAATTTTCTCCAGTGAACAGAGAGAGAAGGCTGTCTAAAAGTACTCATCTGTTCCACATAAAGTTTTCTAAAATATACACACACGCAAGTGCATGTATTTGTAACTCATTTAATCTTTTTTTTAATACATTTATTTTATTTATTTATTTTTGGCTGCATTGGGCCTTTGTTCCTCCTCGCGGGCTTTCTCTGGTTGTGGCCAGCGGGGGCTACTCTTCGTTGCGGTGCGCGGGCTTCTCATTGCGGTGGCTTCTCTTGTTGAGGAGCACGGGCTCTAGGCGCACGGGCTTCAGTAGTTGCGACGTGTGGGCTCAGTAGTGGCTCGCAGGCTCAGTAGTCGTGGCGCACAGGCTTAGTTGCTCCGCGGCATGTGGGATCTTCCCGGACCAGGGCTCGAACCCGTGTCCTGTGTTGGCAGGTGGATTCTTAACCACTGCGCCACCAGGGAAGCCCTCTCAGTTAAGGTTTACAACAACGCTCTGAGATTGATACTGTTATATTTATTTTACAGGTGGAAGTCTGGGGTGCAGAGGGGTTTAAGACCACACAGATTCAACCATGGAACGAACTGGAGATCTCCACGTGGTTCTAGACAGAAAAGCGGGCTCCGGGGAGTCAGGGAGGCAAAGCTAGAGGTTAAAGACAGTAACAACAGCAAATCCCCCTACTGTCAGGAGACTAACAAGCAAATAAATAATAAATAATAGAACCTGGCCTCAGTGCTCAACCTTTTCCTAAGGAGCTTAGAAAGTGCTCAGATGGATATGGGGAGGGGGAAGGGTAAGCTGTGACCAAGCGCGAGAGAGGCATGGACATATATACACTACCAAACGTAAGGTAGATAGCTAGTGGGAAGCAGCCGCATAGCACAGGGAGATCAGCTGGGTGCTTTGTGACCGCCTGGAGGGGTGGGATAGGGAGGGTGGGAGGGAGGGAGAGGCAAGAGGGAAGAGATATGGGAACATATGTCTATGTATAACTGATGCACTTTGTTATACAGCAGAAACTAACACACCATTGTAAAGCAATTATACGCCAATAAAGATGTAAAAATAAAAATTAAAAAAAAAAGAAAGTGCTCAGAGGTGATCTTGCGTCTTGTCCAGTTATAGTTGAGTTGTGTTGTAGGTTTGCCGAGGGCATTGTCATAAATCTGTGCTGAAACCAAACCTGGAGCAGGTCTCCCCTCTCCTGTCGGTCCAGCCCTCATGAAATCAGACGTGATAGAACCAGGAGGAGCCGCGTCAGCATTTTTACCTGATCCTGGGATGGAGAAGGTAAAATGACAGCCTTCGTTACCGCACCTCCCAGAGTGGATCCATGTGGCCTTTCACTGACTCCCTCTGGGCTTCTCTCTTTTCCTCTGAAACCATGAGTCCTCTTTGACCTCAAGGCCATGAAGCCAAATATGACTGCTGGCCCCGGACGAGCTCCTATGGCTGTTACCAGTGTCTGCAAGCATGGCTATCACTCCATCTTCCTGCGGATCATCCAGGACCCTCTGAAACAGCCTTTTCTCTTGTATTCCGCGAGCCCTCAATGTGTCAAGCACTGTGCCACGTGGCACAGGAAGGATGCAGCTTCTGCAGTGTTTGCTCAGCCAAGTAAAGTGAAGCTCATCTCAGTGTAGGCTATTCACTATGTGATTCTCTCAGTCCTACTGCCTACCAGAGTTTGCTGAACTTTCCTGGACATGGCGACGAGGTGAAGTAGTGAGAACTTCCCTCCAGGCTTTGAGTTCTGGCTCTGGTCCTGGTCAGCTCTCCACCCTTGGGAATGTCTCCTGACCCCTTGGAGCTTCAGTTTCCTCATCCATAAAAGGGAGGAGATAATTCCTACCTCACAGGAGTGGAGTGGTGCCACTGTGACCCCACCTCCAGCTTTCATCAGATTCTCTAACTTTCTGGTTTATTCTGAAGATTCTTTTAAGTAATCAGCAAAAGCCAAATGTTCCATCCACTCCCTGTTTTTTGTTTGTTTTTTGTTTGTTTTTTGTTTTTCATTTGATGATTTCCTCCAGGAAAGTGTTTTGCCTGTCTCCTGGGTGAACGTATCCCTTGCCAACTTCTTTGAAAGCCTTTGACAGAGGGGAACACGCTTCTACTAAATGCCACCGGGGAAGAGAATGGAGGGAGGGACAGTACCCCCCTTCTACCTAGAGAGCCTTTCACAGACGCAGTACTTCCTCACCTGCAGCCTCAGCTCATCCCACAGCAGCCCTGGGTAGTGCTCGGAGCTGGGACCATCAGCCCATCTTCCAAATGAGGAAACCGAGGTTCGCAGAGATTGTGTGGCTTGACTGGGGCACACAGCTGACACGTGAAGCCAGATCTCTAAAGCAGGTCTCCGACTCCACATCAGTGCTCCTTCCACCACAAAGAACCTCTTCGGGGAGAAGTCCTTTTCCCTGTTGCAAATCCAAGAGGGAAAGTTTTTGACTATGGCCTAGGTTATGAGAGTTGGGTGGCAGGTGACCCAGGCCTGCCTTGCCTCCTGCATCTGCTGGAAGACTCTTGCTATAGCTTCCTTTTCCAGGAACACAGAGAATTAGGGCCTCTGTTTCTGTAAGTGATGGAATTAATCCAAATCTGGAATCACTGTAAGTCCCGGATCTCATCCACCAGCCCAACCTCACCCAAGTCTCCACTTGTGACTTCATGTGAGGGCTTGCATGAGTAATTATGCTGTTTGAGCCTTAATTTCCTCATCTTTTAACTGGGGATAATAATACCTACTTCTCATGGTTGGGATGATGTATTCTCATATGTCAACAATTACCATATTGTAGGCATCTTATGTGGGTGTGTTATGTGCCAGGAATTATTCTTTACTGCAGGTAAACAGTGAACAAGATAGAAAGGGACCTTCCTCTTGTGCAGCTTACCTGCTAAAGGGGGAAGGTCAATAATAACCTGACTAACGATGAACAAGGCAAGTCCCAAAGAGTAATAACTGCTGAACATATAAATGAACATTTAAAAGCACTCAAACTGTGGCTTCCCTGGTGGCACAGTGGTTGAGAGTCCGCCTGCCGATGCAGGGGACACGGGTTCGTGTCCCAGACCGGGAAGATCCCACATGCCGCGGAGCGGCTGGGCCCGTGAGTCATGGTTGCTGAGCCTGCGCGCCCGGAGCCTGTGCTCCGCAACGGGAGAGGCCACAACAGTGAGAGGCCCGCGTACCGCAAAAAAAAAATAATAATTTTAAAAAAAAAAAAGTACTCAAACTGAAAGAAATAATCTTAATTGAATATTGTACGGTGAAACAGCCACACAGAGAAAACAATATTTCAGGTCATTTTTTAAATACAGTATTCTGATTATACATCCCTAGTAAGATATATTCCCAGGACAAAAAGAACCGTAAAGAAATCTTAATGTTTATTCAGTAGCCTTCTTACAATTTAAAGTTACATTGGAAAATTAATATGAGTTCATAATTCTTTTTTCTCTTAAAAAATAACGTATTTCCTAGCTCTCTCTAGCCATTGAAAAGGCTTAGAAGCTGACAACCCAGTAGCAATAAGTTCCTAGTTTTGTGGTCTCTAAATCTGATTTAGTGACCACAATAAAGGAGCCAAAGATTCATGGTGAAATGGTTGATTCCAGGTCTAAGGCAAGAGATATATAAGATGAGCCTTGGATATCTTGCACAAGAAAGCAAGGAAACAACCAAAGACTAATTTTAATGCATCTATTCAATAGAACCGAGGACATTAAAGAGTCTTCTTGAAGGGGCTTCTCTTGGCCTAAGGATAATTTGAACATCAAAAAGATCAAAACACATCAAGTATATATATACATTTCAGCCACAAGCTTAAAACAATTCTAAAACAAAAAGTCACACGTTACCTCTTTGCAGGTTACTGAGCCACCAACTCTGAAATTTGCTTTTAAATTTGCTTTTAAAAATTGGGAGGAATTAACCATTTATCCCATCTTTGCTGCATTTTGGTATAACCAAGTTGTTGTTAGGGGAAAGTTTTCCTTTGTAGAAGAATTCCGGGTAATAAATGCAAGAAAGACTTGTAGAAGTATAAAAATCACCATTTTGAAACTCAGTGAAATAATGTATCTAGCAACAATCATTGAAGGCTGCTGAAATCATTGGGTAAAAGGTTGATGGGGAGCTTTATGATGGAAGAGTCAGGCTGGCACCACTTCAACCCCCCAGTCAATCATAGCATCACTAAAGGTGGGACAGCTGAACATGGTGTGTTTCATGATGTGATGTACCCCTATGAAGTATCACCAAACAAACTTGAATCTGAGTCTGTAGATCTAACTACCGGTGTACAGGAAGTCCAGCAGACAGAGGAAAAAATCAGGGAAAACAATCAACCAGATTGAAAGTGTGGGACCTCCTTCAGGTCAAATAACCTGATTTCTCCACCAAATAGATGACGTTAAAAAGGTAGGGAAGGAAACAACCTAACTGTCCATCGATGAATGAATGGATAAAGAAACCGTGGCGTGTAGAGAGAGAACGGAATATTAGTCAGCCATAAAAAATACAAAATCTTGCCATTTGCAACAACATGGATGAACCTCAAGGGCTTTTTTATACTAAGTGAAATAAGCATAATAATAAGTCAGACGGAGAAAGACAAATAATAAAAATACCATATGATCTCTCTTATAGCTATATGGAACCTTTAAAATAAAAAAGCTTATAGAGGGACTTCCCTGGCAGTTCAGTGGTTAAGACTCTGCGCTTCCACTGCAGGGGGCACGAGTTCAATCCCTGGTCAGGGAACTAAGACCCCACGTGCAGTGTGGCATGGCCAAAAAAAAAAAGTTTACAGATATCAAAGATACAGACGACAAATTTGTGGTTGCCAGAGGTGGGGTGTGGGGCTGGGAGAAAGAGGGGAACTGTTTTTGTTTTCATTTTTCAGTTTAAATAAATTGAATCAAAATAGAAAGAAAAAAAATGAAGAAGTGAATAGAATATCCATGGACTGGGGGACAACTTCAAGAGGTGTAACATATGCATAATTGGAACACAAGAAGGAGAAAAAAAGCAAGAACAGAACAGAAATATGTTTGAAGTAATAACGGCCAAAGTTTTTGAAAAATCAATGACAACACAAAACCACAGATCCAGGAAGCGCAGAGAATACAGTTTAAGGTAAATACCAAAAATTCCACACCAAGTA